TGTTCTACCTAGGCCTTTCAGTACTATGCTGAATAGGGGAGGTGGGAGTGGGAATCTTTATCTTGTTCTAATTTTCAAGGGGAATGCTTCCAGCTTTTGCCCATTCAATATGATGTTGGCTGTGTGTTTTTCACGGATGGCTCTTATTATTTTGAAGTATGTTCCTTCATTGCCCAGTTTTCTGAGGGTTTTTAACATGAAGAGATGCTGAATTTTATTGAAACCTTTCCTGCATCTACTGAGATTATATGTTTCTTTTTTTAGATCTGTTTATGTGGTAAATCACATTTGTTAATTTGCATGTATCAAACCTACCTTGTATCCCAGAGGTAAAACCTACTTGATCATATTGGATAAGGTTTTTGATGTCCTGCTGAATTTTGTTTGCTAGTATTTTGTTGAGGATTTTTTCCACCTATTTTCATCAAGGATATTGACGTAAAGTTTTCTTTTTGTTATTTCTCTACCAGACTTTATTATCAGTATGATTCTGGCCTCAAAGAATGAGTTAGGGAGGAGTCCCTTCTCCTCAGTTTTTTGGAATAGTTTCAGTAGGAATGGTACAAGCTCTTCCTTATGCATCTGGTAGAATTTGGCTGTCAATCCTTCTGGTCCTGGGCTTTTTCTGGTTGGTAGGCTTTTTATTGCAGATTCAATTTTGGAACTCTTTAATCTGTTCATGCATTCAATTTCTTCCTGGTTCAATCTTGGGAGGTTGTTTGTTTCTAGGAATTTATCATTTTTTCGCCTAGATTGTCTAGCTTGTATACATAGAGATGTTAGATTCTGAGGGTTTTTGTATTTCTGTGGGGTCAGTGGTAACCTCCCTTTTGTCATTTCTGATGGTATTTATTTGGATATTCTCTCTCTCTCTTTTTTTTTTATTAGTCTAGCTAGCAGTCTATCAGTCATTAATTCTTGTAAAGAACCAACACCTGGATTCACTGATCTTTTTTATGGTTTGTTGTGTCTCAGTTTCCTTAAGTTCAGTTCTGATTTTGGTTATTTCTTGTCTTCTGCTAGCTTTGGGGTTGGTTTGCTCTTGTTTCTCTAGTTCCTTTAGTTATTATGTTCTTAATTTGAGATCTTTCTAACTTTTTGATGTGGGCATTTAGTGTTATAAACTTTCTCTTAACAATGCTTTAGTTGTGTCCCAGAGATTCTGTATTGTATTTTCATTCTCATTAGTTTCATAGAATTTCTTGATTTCTGCCTTAATTTCATTATTAACCCAAAAGTCATTCAGGAGCAGGTTTTTAAATTTCCATGTAATTTTATGGTTTTTAGCAATTTTCTTAGCATTGATTTCTATTTTTGTTGTGCTGTTGTCTGAGAGTGTGATTGGTATGATTTTGTTTTTTATGAATTTGCTGAGGATTGTTTTATGCCCAATTGTGTGATTGATTTTAGAGTATGTGCCATGTGCAGATGAGAAGAAAGTATTTTGCGTGGAGAATTCTGTAGATGTCTATTAGGTCCACTTGGTCAAGTGTTAAGTTCAGGTCCTGAATAATTCTGCTAGTTTTCTTACTCGATGATCTGTCTAATATTGTCATTGGGGTGTTCAAGTCTCCCACTATTATTGTGTGGTTATCTAAATTTCATCATAGGTATCTAAGAACTTGCTTTATGAATATGGGTGCTCCTGTGTTGGGTGCATGTATGTTAAGGATAGTTAGGTCTTCTTGTTGAATTGAGCCCTTTACCATTATGTAATGTCCTTCTTTGTCTTTTTTTTTTTTTTTTTTTTTTTAACACTGTTGGTTTACAGTCTGTTTTGTCTGAAATTAGAATAGTAACCTCTGCTTTTTTTCTGTTTTCCTTTTGTTTGGTGGATTTTTCTCCACCCCTTTACTTGGAGACTGTGTATGTCACTGCATGTAAGATGGGTCTCTGGAAGACAGCATACCCTTGGGTCTTGCTTCTTTATTCAACTTGCCAGTCTATGCCTTTTAATTGAGTTAGCCCATTTATATTCAAGGTTAGTGTTGATATGTGTGGATTTGATCTTGTCATCAAGTTTTTAGCTTTTTATTATGCAGATTTGTTTCTGTGATTGCTTTATAGTGTCACTAGTCTATGTAGTCAAGTGTGTTTTTGTAGTGGCTGGTAGTGATGTTTACTTTCCATATTTAACACTGCCTTCAAGATCTCTTTCTCTTGTAAGGTAGGTCTGATGATAACAAATTCCCTCAGCATTTGCTTGTCTGAAAAGGATCTTATTTCTCCTTTGTTTATGAAGCTTAGTTGGGCTGAATATGAAATTATTGGCTGGAAATTCTTTTCTTTAAGGATGCTGAATATGAGCCCCCATCTCTTCTGGATTATAGGATCTGCTTAAAAATCTGCTGTTAGCCTAATAGGGTTCTCTTTGTAGATGACCTGCCTCTTTTCTCTAGCTGCCTGTAACATTTTTTTTTTTTTAATCATTTTGACCTTGGGGAATCTGATGACTATTTGTCTTGAGGATGGTATTCTTATGTAGTATTTCACAGGGCTAGTATTTCACAGGGCTAGTATTTCACAGGGGTTCTCTGCATTTCCTTTGAATGTTGGCCTCTCTAGCGAGGTTGGGGAAATTTTCATTGACAATATTCTGAAATATATTTTCCAAGTTACTTGCTTTCTCTCCCTCTCTTTCAGGGATGCCAGTGAGTCATAGATTTGGTCTCTTCACATAATCCTATATTTCTCAGAGATTTTATTCAGTCTTCATTTATTTATTTTTGACTAATTTCAGAGACTATCTTCATACTCTGAGACTCTTTCCTCAGCTTGGTCTATTCTACTGTTAATACTTGGGATTGTATTCTGAAATTCTTTATGTGAGCTTTCCATTTCCAGATCTATTAGATTAGTTTAGTTCCTTTTTTATTTTTTATTTTTTTTTTAGACAGAGTCTTACTCTGTCATCCAGGCTGGAGTATAGTGGCATGATCTTGGTTCACTGCAACCTCTGCCTCTTGGGTTCAAGTGCTTTTCCTGCCTCAGTCTCCCAAGTAGCTGGGATTACAGGCACATGCCATCATGTCTGGCTAATTTTTAGTATTTTTAGTGGAAATGGGGTTTTGCCGTTTTGGCCAGGCTTGTCTCAAACTCCTGACCTCAAGTGATCTGCCCACCTTGGCCTCCCAAAGTACTGGGATTACAGGTGTGAGCCACCATTCCTGGCCTGGTTATTTCTTAAAATGGCCATATTTCATCTTTCATCTCCTGTATTATTTTATTATATTTCTTATAATCCTTGGATATGATTTTGATTTTCTATTGAATATCAGTGATCTTTGATATGGTTTGGATTTGTGTTTCTGCCCAAATTGCATGTCAAATTGTAATCTCCAATGATGGAGACAGGGCCTGGTGGGATGTGATTGGATCATGGGGGCAGACCTCTCCCTTGCTGTTCTTGTTAGAGTCAGTGAGTTCTCATGAGATCTCTGGTTGTTTAAAAGTGTATAGCACCTCCCCCTTCACTCTCTTGTTTCTGTTCTGGCCATGAAAGATGTGCCAGCTTCTCCTTCACCTTCCACCATGATTGTTACTTGCTTGAGGTCTCCACAGAAGCAGAAGCCTGAACATTCTGCAAAATCATGAGCCAATTAAACCTGTTGTCATTATAAATTACCCAGTTTCTGGAATTTCTTTATAGCAGTGTGAGAACAGACTAATACAGCAAATTAGTACTGGGAAGTGAGGCATTGCTATAAAGATACCTGAAAATGTGGAAGCAGCTTTGGAACTGGGTAAGGGGCAGAGGTTTGAGGAGTTTGGAGGGCAGGAAGATAAGGGGAAGTTTGAAACTTGCTGGAAACTTTTGAAATTGTTCTGACCAAAATCCTGATAGTGATATGGACAATGAAGTCCAAGCTGAGGTGGTCTCATATGGAGATGAGGAACTTATTGGGAAATAAAGTAAAGGTCACGCCTTCTATGCTCTAGCAAAGAGACTGGTGGCATTGTGCCCCTGCTCCAGGGATCTGTGGAACTTTGAACCTGAGAGAGATGATGTAGGTATCTGGTGGAAGAAATTTCTAAACAGCAAAACCTTCAAAAGTAACCTGGCTGCTTCTAACAGCTTATGCTCCTATGCATGAGCAAATAGATGATCTGCAACTGGAAATTAAAAGGGAAGCAGAGCATAAAAATTTGGAAAATTTGCAGCCTGACCATGTGGTAGAAAATAAAATCTCACATTATGGGGAGGAATGTAAAGAGGAGTGGAATGTTAATAGTCACAACAATGAGGAAAATGCCTCGAAGGCATTTCAGACACCTTCGTGGCAGCCCCTCCAATCACAGGCCCAGAGGCCTAGGAGGAAAGAATGGTTTCATGGACCCAGCACAGGGCCCTGCTCCCCTATGCACCTTGGGACACTGATTCTTGCATCCCAGCCATTCCAGCTCCAGCATGGCTAAAAGGGCCCCAGCTACATATCAGGACACAGCCTGTGGTATTCAGCCTGTGGGTGCACAGAGGGCAAGGACTGAGGCTTGGGAGCCTCCCTCTAGATTTCAGAGGAGGTTTTTCAAAGTAAGAAGAACATGAGATTTTGGAGAAGCTGGGGCAGAATGATATGGATTGGATTTGTGTCTCTGTCTAAATCTCATGTCAAATTGTAATCTGTAATGTTGGAGGTGGGGCCTAGTGCGATGTGATTGGATCATGGGGGCAGACTTCCCCTTTGCTGTTCATGTGACAGTGAGTGAGTTCTCACAAAATCTGGTTGTTTAAAAGTGTATAGCCCCTCCCCCTTTATTCTCTTTATCCTGCTTCAGCCATGTAACATGTGCCAGCTTCACCTTTACCTCCCACCATGATTATAAGTTTTCTGAGGCCTCCACAGAAGCAGAAGCCTGTGCAGCCTGTGGACCATGAGCCAATTAAACCTCTTTTCTTTGTAATTTACCCAGTTTCAGGTATTTCTTTATAGCAATGTGAGAACAGATTTGTACAATCTTCATTCCTATTCATATTCTGAATTATTTTTCTATCATTTCAGCTATTTCAGCCTGGTTAAGAATCATTGCTGGGAAACTAGTGTGGTTGTTTGGAGGTAAGAAGACACTCTGGTTTTTTGAGTTGCCGGAGTTATTGTGCTGATTCTTTCTCATCTTTGTGGGCTGATGTTCCTTCAGTCTTTGAAGTTGGTGCCATTTGAATAGGCTTTCCACTCCCTCGTTTTATCCTTTTGGATGTTTTAGGGGCTTTGATTTTGGTCTAAGATGAGTGCAGTCAATTGGCTGAAGATTAGGGGGACAAATATCAGTTCAGGACTCCTATGCTGTGTGCTCTAATTCTGGGGGTCTGCCAGCTTTGTTTTCTGGACCATTGAGGTTAGAAACCTGCTGTGCTGGAGTGGCCAAGATGTTTATAGACCTCTGGTAACAACACTATGATGGGTGGTGCCAGCCAAGGCACTTCATCAGGTGGTGGCAGCAGGATTCATGGTCATTTCCATGTTCTAGCAGCAGCAACAGCAGCAGCAGCAGCAGCAGCAGCACAGCACATGCTTATTGACTGAGGTGGGGCACTGACCAGTGCAAGCATGCCATTCTCCATGCAGGCATACACTGCCTTTGGTTTTAAATGTGTTTCCTGGATTCTAGAATGTCCTGGAGCCCTCCCTGTAGATCTCCCAGTGCCTGTAAGTAACAAGACAACAGAAGCTATGGCTTAGCCCTGTGGGCCTCATTAAACATAGGATATGGAACAGTGAAGATGTGCTTGAGCTTAGCAGGCAGAAGCAAGAATTCCCTTTTTATTAATGAGTTGTAGGAATTTTTTATATTAACTAGATAACAGTCTGTCAAATACCAGTTTTACAAATATTTTCTTCCACCTCATGGCTTGCCTATTTTTTTAATGTTTTCTGAATGAGCAGAAATTTTCAATTTTGATGAAGCCTAAGTTGTCATTTTCTTTCTTTTTATGGTTATTGATTACTGTGTCCAGTCTAAGAAAGCTTTTCTTACTCCCAAGTTACAATGATATTGTCTTATTAGTTTTAGTTTTCACTTTTGGGAGTAGGAGTTATTATAAATTAATGTTTATGTATTGTGTGAAGTCAGGGTCAAAGTTTTTTCATATATTCATATCTAGTGTTTCATCATTTGTTAAGTAGAGATTCCTTACCATGTTAGGTTACTTTGATTTTTACCAAAAATTAAATGACCATGCAAGTGTGGGTATATTTCTGATTTATATTCTGCCCCATGATAAAATCATCAATTTACTGACTCTTATGGCAGGAACACCACCTTCCTTCATTACAAGAGCTTTATAATTCTGAAATCATGGTAAAAATTCTGTAACTTAATTCTTTTTTCAATATTGGCTTTGGATTTTCAGGTCTTGCATTTCCATATACATGTTAGGATGAGATTAATAGTTTCTACAAATAAGTCTGTTGGGATCACTATTGGAATTGCTTTCAAATAATTTGAGAAGAATTGTGGAGATTAGTTTGCCAATAATTGACATCTTAAAAATATTAGTTTTATAATCAATGAACATGGTATATCTTTTCTCTTACATTTAAATTTTTTCTACGATGTTTGCAATTTTCATTTTACAGGTATTATGTTAAACTTATTAAGTATTTTGTGATTTTTGATGACATTGGAAGTAGAGTTGTTTTTAATTAAATTTTATAATTTACTAAGTAAAATACAATTAATTTTGTATATTATTTTTGCATTCTACAATTTTACTAAGTGCAGTTATGAGTTATATTAAATGGTTTGCAAATGTATTAGAATTTTCTGTGTTAACAATCATGTCTCTGGGCATAGTGGCTCATGCCTGTCATCCCAGTACTTCAGAAGGCCAAGGTAGGTGGATCTCTTTATGTCAGGAGTTCAAGACCAGCCTGGCCAACATGGCAAAACCTTGTCTCTATAAAAGTACAAAAATTAGCTGGGGGAGGTGGTGTGCACCTGTAATCTCAGCTACTCAGGTCTCTGAGGCAGGAGAATTGCCTGAATCTGGGAGGCAGAGGTTGCAGTGAGCTGAGATCATGCCTCTGCATTCCAGCCTGGGTGACAGAGTGACACTCTATCTCAAAACAACAACAACAGTCATGTCATTTGCAATAAGACAGCTTTACTTCTTTTTAAATTTTTGAGCCTTTTATTTATTTCTTTTTCTTCACCTGCCCTGGCCATGACCTAAGTTGAATAGGAACAGTGAGAGTGGGCATCCTTGCCTTGTTTGTATCTAATGGGAAAAGTGTTTAATCGTCATTAAGTATGATCACAATTTTTCATTTTTATCAAAACCATTGATCATCTTAATGAATTCTCTTCAATTCTTCATTTTATTAGATTCAAAAATACGACTTACCTTTTAAAATTTGTCAAATGTTTTGGGGGGAGAATTGGAAGATATTTGCCAGAGGATACAAAGTTTCATTTAGAAAAGATGAATAAGTTCTGGAGATATGCTGTGCAGCATGGTGTCTATAATAATAATAATAATATATTGTATAGTTGAAAATTCCGGAAGTAGTAAATCTTAAATATTCTTATTACACAAAACAAAGTATGTGAGATGATAAAGATATTAACTAGCTTGATTTAACCATTTCATAATGTATACACATCTCAAAACATCACATTGTACACCATAAAGATATATAATTTTTATTTATCAATTAACAGCTTTATAAAGTTGAGAAAAATAAAAACAAACAGACAAGCCTGAAAGTGCGTGTACCCAAAAACAAATTAAAGAAACTCAAAAAAGAGAAATTTAGTCAAGTGTTTTCTGTGCATCTATTGATGTAATAAAATAGCTTTTCTCAACCATTTTGTTAATGTGTTGAATGACATTTATTTTTAAATGTTATACTTACATTGCACTCTTAGAATACATACCACTATATCATAATGCAATATCCTATTTACATACAACCGGACCCATTTTAGTTAACATTTTTGTTTAGAGTGTCTACATTTTGTTCTTGAAAGATATTGTTCCCTCTTTCTATGTAATGTTTTATTCAGGTTTTGCTATTAGTTTTATTCTGGCCTCATAAAATTAATTGGAAAGTGATTTCTTTTTTTTTCAAAGAGGTTGTGTACATTTGGTTTTATTTCCTCCTCAGATGTCTGATAGATTCATCAGTAGAACCACCTGGGCCTAGAGTTTTCTGTGTGAAGAAGTTTTTGATAATAAATTCAATTTCTTTACCAGCAGGTATATGGGTCTTCCAATTTTCTGTTTTATCTTGTGTCAGTTTAATAAGTGTTTATTTTGGGAAGTTTATTTCATTTAAGCTGTAGAATTTTTTAGCATGAAGCTGCTTATAATATTACCCTCTTATATGTTTAAATGTTTGTACAACCTTTAATGAAAACCTCCTTTTTGTTCCTGATATTGGTAATTTGTGTTATCTCTCTCTCTCTCTCTCTTTTTTTTTTTTTTGCACGATGTAGTCAAGACCAGACAATTTTGCTGGTCTTTTCTAACACTAACTTTGACCTTGTAATTTTTTTCCTATTGTTAATTTTCTATTCTGTATTCTCATTTTTATTTCCTTCTATCATAAACTTATTAGCATGTGTCTTATCTTTACAGTGGTAAAGGTTAGGAATAGACCTCAATTTTTAAAGTAAGAATTAAATGATAACATGTTTTCTGGTGCACAGTAATAAATAGATGGTATTCATTGTAATTATTATGAACACTTTCCTGATACTTCCTGTGAGGGTTTCTATAAATTTCTAGTTAAAAGTAATTGATATAAAGTATTGTTATTGGTATTTATGTGGGGGAAATTTTAACCAGATAGAGATCAACAGGTTAATATTTTACAGTTTTTACTGGATAAAGTTATAAATATTTGTAAGGCTGCATTCCCTTCAAAATGGAAAAAACAGGTACTGTTGTTACTTGGGTGAGGCAATCTTCTCCTAAAGTGTAGATCAGTTGCTTACCATCTGGTGAGGGCATTTTTGTAAACCTGTGCTGACCTCAGCATCCCAGTCCCATTTATTACATTGAGTGAGATCAGCCTAGGGTCGAAAAGAGGTAGGAGTGTATAGAACCTGGTATCTATGATGACCTTGAATAAGAGAAAAAAAAATTATAAAAATGAGAAAGTCAGGTATGGAAAGGTAGAATGAAATTATTTCTTGTTGAGATCTAGCAATATGACTTGACCATGTTAGGTACTTCATGTATTCTTTGCTATTCCTAACATTATGTGATATAGATTATTATATCCATTTTAGAGTTGAGTATATCCAAGGTTATAGTCAGCTGTACAATGAGATATGAAAGCCCATTTCTTAGCACTACATAAAGTCTGTACACAGCCCCCAAAGTAGATAGCCATAGACCATTGCCAGCATTGGTATGGTGTCAAATGGTAGTGTCAACTGGAGTATGGATTAAGCAAGCATGTTAACACTCATCTTCAATCCCAGGATTTAAAATATCCTCTGATGTGAAGTGGGATAAAAGCTCTTTAGAACTTCAAATAAGGTGGGTTTTTTGTTTGTTTGTTTGCTTGTTTTGGTGGGGTAAGTTGGTAGCAGGAGGGTTGTATATAATAAAACAACTGTAGACTTTTCAGTTTGTGTTTTGTTGGAAGGTAATGAGGCCTACAGAATTGAAAACATCTCCAGAAAAGTAAAAGTTGACCTTGCTTTGTGCACTGGATGCATTAAGTTGAATATAAAGCTACTATTTGTATATAGGATCTCTTGACATAATTGTGAAGCTTTACTCCCATTAGGAAAACACATGCACTGAAATTCAGGGTCTTGAATACAAGACCCAATAAAAACAACTCTTAAGCATCCTAACATGCACTTCAAAGGAGCATTTTGTCTCTGTCAATATGTAGTCTACAGTGCATTTAATTTTCTGAGGAAATCCCTGTGAGCATTTTGCTAAATGGGTAATCAATCTACCTGATCTTGCCCAGTTCAATTAAAGCACAGCTACAAGAGCACAGACAGTCCTTCCCACAGTGAAAGTGGCAAACAAGGTTAGCAAATGGAGGCTTGGGGCCCAGCTGGAACATGCCCCCTTATCCCATTGTCCTCA